GATCTAGCCACTTAATTCTCGGCACGTACTCGATCTTGATCGCTGGCTCATCATCTTTCTTCTGGGTCGTCGCTTCGTAATTCTTCACACTCGTCGTTTCACCGTTCGCAAATTTCCTCTTCGACATTCCACTGCAATCCATCTCCGTCCTGGGAAGCATTGTCGGCGGTATTCTTTCCTCGTTCGGCGACATTTTCGTCAAGGACGCGTCTCCGTCGTCTCCAAGTGTCTCGTGACCGTTTAGAAATTCTCGGGGACCGTACACCGACAATAGATTCTCCATTGATTTTCCGAGAGGCAAATCAATTTAATCGCTGCTCTGCATCTCAAGTAACTTTCGCGAAGTTGATCGATATCTATGTGATGTGATTTATCGATCGCGAGATTGTTGTATCAAATCAATATGAATGAACTTAGATCAAAATGTGAAATCGGCTCATAATGCAGAAACGGCTCCTTCTGAAAAAAGAATTATATATGTTGATTAATATTATTTTTTTCAACAATATTCCGGTGATTATTAGACAATTTGTTAAAAATTTGTCGAAGATATAACGTGATATTAAGCGCCTCTTGTTCATTTCTACTCTTTGACAATTCTGCATTATTCATGTAGTGATAAAAAGGAAATGCATGTTATAGGATATTACATATTGATCGCTGATAACACTACTTCGTTCATATTGCATCGCGATAAGATTATTCGCTTCTAGGTACTCTTTAAGACTCGTTATTAAAAGATACCGATACTCTGGAATTATTTTATCTTTCGTTTCTTTAGTCAAACGTGGCATAGTTAAGTTAATCAATTTTGCAGTATAGATTGACATTTCATAGACACCAATTTTAGTTACCAATATTGAAGCTAAATTATTTCAAATTTACAGAATATCTGGTATTCATCTGCTTCATTTTCGATAATTAACTTTGGAAACAAGTTCGATAAATATACTGTTCAAAATGCGCGAATTTATGAGAATTATGGCAAGGTCGTATCTCTATATCGTATGTCTATATTAACACATTACGTATATCTTGGTATGTAAATTAGCCGAACATAACCGCGAGAACATTGCGAGAACCATGCTGATTTAACTACAGAAATCTACAAAAGCTACAGAAATATCTTCAACTTAATACTTTGAGTATTATAATATATCATATAACTTGTGAATAACTTTATGATAGTTTTAGAATACTAGAATTATATAAAGTTATATAATTAGAATTTTTCAATATATAATTAATTAAAAATAATACAAAAAATAATACAAAGTTTTATTGCCAAACAAAGTAACATAACGGCATAACAAAGTAAAACTTCTGTTAGTACACTAAACAAATATCCGATACATTCAAAATTCCGTTCTTTGTACGCTAATCTGCAAAAGAAGATAACAGAAAACATATCGCTAACGCTCAAAAATAGAATGCAAGCATAATAATTCTATATATTCTACACATATATTGCGTACGACAAATTCAATAATTAATTCTGTATTATTCATATGATTTTTTTTTAGCTTAATCGCTCACTCGCACAGAATACACCAACATTATATTTTATTTTTTTGTACTCTTTAATGATTTATAATTAAATAAAAATGGACAATATTTTCTAAATACTTTAAACAAAAATAAATAAAATAAGTTTAATCCTATTTTGCAAAACAATTAGTATAAAATATAATATTGCAAAAATTTTTTTCGTTTTAGCAAATTTCTAAGATTATTGTTTTGTATAATAGAAGATATTTTAGTTCTGCATGAGTAATAAAAGATTAGTATCTATTATTATATAATTAATTTAAGATATATTTCAAGGAAAGGAGTTATATTTTAAGGAGCTTATTGCGTCATTAATAAGTGAAAATGTCCTTTTCTTCCTCTCTCTTCCTCTCTTTACATGCTACTATTTTAATTAATATAATTATAGTGTACCGTAATTAAATTATGTAATAATAATAATAATAATAATAATATATTATCATTCATATAATTACATAGATTAAGAATAAATTACAATATATATATTACAATATATTAAGAATATATTACAATATATTATAATTTGATAATTTATCGAAACTTACAAGTTATAAACTTCAAATAATAGCAATATACAGGAATGATATGCGCAATATTTCCCAGTATTCCGATACAATCTATTTGATAATTGGTTACTTTAAACGTCAATGTCAAACTTCGAAAATGACAAGAGAACCGACCGATCGATCGATTGACTTTGAACTCGGAAACAGTTTGCATGTGTCAGAATGAAGCTTCGCAATCCTGTCGTGAAATTGAACACTGAAGTGTTAGATTTACATCTCATTTACTCTGAACACGTTTTCCTTTAAATAAATAATAATGTATAATAAATTATTTTGGAAGAAAATAATTACATGCATTATGATTATAACCACACACAATAAACAAAAAGTAAATTTATATGTTACTTATTGTTAATATTAATACGTAAAAATTATATCAAAGATTATTAAAATTTTATATATAATTTTAAATATAATGATCCTCTTTTAATAAAAAGAGAATGGAGAAGATATATTTTGCGTAATTCTCTTAGCGATAGACAATCTCAAATTATTCTTCAGTTGACATATAAATTTGATTTTGATCTGTCTCTTGCAAATATTTACAGAAAAAAAATATTTTTCTCTTTTTCGCATGTTTTACTCCTCTTTCAACTCCTTTCTTCGCTGATTTTGAATTCGATCGATCGGTGCTTCCGACTATTGAAGAACGTGCTCTGTCGTTATGTTTCGTAGCAACACATCACCGATAGTCGGATACATATGTGAGAGTATTCCA